TTAAGAATTAACTGGCTATAAACGTCTAAAATCGGTACAATATCCAAATAAGAAACAAATGATAAATAAAAAATGAAGTTAATACTTTTTAACCAATGGCTACTGTGACGTATCCTTTGTTCAAGTTTAATCGTGTGCTACGAAATAATAGGTGTAATAGATAGAAACACATGTCATGCAGTCATAGTACATTTTAACTGCGTTTTCGTCCACTGTTCGACAGAAAAAAACTGTGCTACGAAATAATAGGTGTAATAGATTGAAACACATGCAATGCAGTCATAGTATATTTTAACTGTGTTTTCGTCCACTGTTCGACAGAAAAACGCACCAGAATTAAACTTTTAGCCAAAATCTTGGAAATAATCACCTCTTTTTTTTTTCTTTTTTTTTTAACTTTTTATTCCTCTTTTGGGATGGGAGTCATTTTCCAACAGAGGGGTAATGTCTTATCAGTAGAAAACTGACCGTAGGTGTTCTTTTCCTACATAAAAAAAAATTTCTACGACTGGTGGGACATTTTTGCAAAGGGGGTCATTCTTCGTCTTTACACCTACTTTTGGAAATGAAAAAATAATGTAGTGGTGGAAATATATACATATCAAATAAGAAGGACGCGGGATAGAAAATGACATGGAGGGGATTACATTTACAATCTTGTAAGAGCCACGCCTCAAAAATATACTATATTGGGTGGATTTCATCTATCCTACAAAAGCAGATGTTGAATGAATGCGATACTTCTTCATGTCAACATGCCCAGATTGATTTCATAGAGCAGTCTGTGAATTAAACTGCTGCAAATCAACATGCCCAGATTGATTTCATAGAGCAGCCTGTGAATTCAACTGCTGCAAATGAAGTTTCGGAAACGTTTGTGATAATATAACACGGATATGTCCCGAATCGTAACAGGGTTATTGCAATGGTTCCTTAGGTGTTGGTAACTGACTGATATAACCCTTTGTAATCATTCATTCAAAAGATTCTTCAAAATTGTTTATTTATATGATCTTGAAAAATCGATGTTTAACCTAAGTGTTTTACTGAAAAATAAATGTTTCTGTCATTCCCAATATAGTTAAGATTATACAAATACACATGTACATGTCTTTTTATATTGCAAAGGCTTTCATAATATAATTGCAGTTATTAAAACTGAGCCCTGTAGCAGTGTGTTGCTTCTGAAATGCAAGAATGTACCTATATAATTATTTACAGGTTACAAAAATCCTTAAATCTCAATGAAAGAATTTTTTTTTTTTTTTTTTTTTACAAATGTTTGTTCCTAATTTATTTTTTTCACCTTTTACGTAGATTGTGAAGAAGGTTTTTATGGGCCGACATGTGAAAACTTCTGTGGAAGCTGTAGAAATGGGACATATTGTGACACATCCTCCGGAGTATGTCCAGACAGTTGTGAGGATCATTGGGATGGACATATGTGTAATGGTAGGACGTTTTCAGCTGTTCTGCTGGGTTTTTAAGGCTACAATCAGATATTCCATTTGCGTATACAGTATGACGTCATAGTAAGCTAAATGACGTGAACGGTTTCTTAAAATCTATATTTAAAGATTTATTTAGGATGCTATAAATAATTGAAAACATGCAAAATATAATATTAACCAAATTTTTTGGGATGGTATGAATAGTGAAGTATTCGTCACAGTTGTTAATAAATGAATTGTTGCCGGATTTTTCCGTTATTTCCTGATCATGACAAGGAGCACACGACGGATGTGACCGGTCGGCAGGGGATGCTCACTCCTCCATGGCACCTGATCCCACTTCTGATGTTTAAGGGGTCCGTGTTTGCTCTGCTCTAAAATTTGTAACATTTAAAGGACTTCTGATCTTGAATACTGTTCGTTGTCTCCATGTATATATATCGAACCCATGGTGTCATACCTGTTGATCAAACATTGGCCGAATGAAGGGGAAACGAGAATTCATGTAAACAAATACATAAACTGGGCGTTAAGAAGTACATAAAGTAAAAACGTGTATGATTCACATGGAATTAAAGATTAAGAATCAAGTACGCTGATTTCTTTTGATAATTTTTTTTCTTATATTGAAGACAGCCAATGGTTGGAAATATCGATCAGCCATTCCTCTGTTGTTTTTAACAACAAAGATGAAAATATACAACACTAAACAGCATACTTTGAAACATAATTCTCGTTTATATCGAAAACTTGTATTTTATAGTATTAAGGAGGTGCTTCTACAATCGTGTGGTTAACATGACTCGATGAAAATTCGTCGATCGCATGTACAAAATGTAAAAATGTTGGAAAGGTTTTATGGGAAAATGTGGAAAAATTATTTCTATGACAGAAGAGTGGGATTCTAGCAGTACTGATCATGCCCCAGAGATATTTTACATAGTGATATAAGGAGATAACGAACAGTAATCAAGCTCAAAAGTCCATTGAAACAATGCCAATCCGGAGCAGAGCAAACACGGACTTCTAAAAATATGAGGTTGGATCATGTGTCATGGAGGAGTAAACATCCCCTGTCGACCGGTCAAACCCGGGGTTTAATCCTTCTCATGACTCGGAAAACAGAAATATAGACAATACAATGTGTAAATAACATAATAAATAATAAAAATAATAAATAGCCTAACAATAAGTATGAAAAAAAAGTCAGTCAGCATTTGAACTCATTATTCTTCATTTCAGTTTGCAAAGAAGGATATTATGGACTAAAGTGTGAATTAAACTGCGGCAAATGTAGCATTGAAACATTTTGTAATACTATAACGGGGATATGTCCAGAGGGATGTCAGGATCATTGGGCTGCTCCTCTTTGTGACAGTAAAAACATTGGTTTTATTAATTTAAAATAGTGTTCAAAATGTCTTCGAATTAGTTAAACCTATCGTAAATTTTTAATGTTTATTCTGGAATAATTTCAGTACCTTTTATTTCAAATATGATTTTTTTTGTTTTTCGAAAAAAGTAGATATTTTTTTCTGTAAGATGCCAGATTTTTTTTATTTTTAACATACCATGTTTCTTAATCATTTTACGTATTAAAACTGGGTTGTAAAGCTATTTTTATTGTCTGAAATACAAGTACGCATTCATTGAAATATGTACAATATTCGAGAAAAACTCTCCAAATATCAAAAAAATGAACTTTTTATCAGCGTTTATTATTTGTTTTTCTTAAATATAAGCATGTGAGGTTGGGTTTTATGGGCAAACATGTGAAAAACCCTGTGGAAGCTGCAGAACTGGAACCTACTGTAATACATCCACCGGAATATGTCCAAATGGCTGTGAGAATCATTGGGTTGGAGTAATGTGCAAAGGTCTGTCATTTGTAACTGTTTTTCTTCTTTTTCAAAACAATGTTTGAGAGGTAAAGAAGAATTGCATTTTGAAAGAAATGTTACATCTCTGCATTACCGTGCATGTAAAGAATCCTTTTAACACTTTACAAATCTTTGCAAACAAACATACGTAGCGGCTTCCAGTAAATATTCTACCAAGGCTCATCTTTACGCCTCACTAAAATATTTAAGGCAGTGAAAGAGAAACTTCGGGAGTTCTGTACAACAGTATATTCCAGAAAATGTGTAATGCAGATACGTGGATATTTGAACAATCCAAGAAAATTTTAGAAAATTTGAAATCACAAAATAATATAAAATCAGTAACATCAAAAAAGTTTAGACAACCATTCCCCATGATAAATTGAAGTCCAGGCTTTTTGATATCATAGACTGTTGCTTTCACATTTCATATTACCAACAACCTTATTCTAAAATTTCCTTATTTACTACAACTCTTTAACTATTAACATTTTTTCTCAGAAATCAATTGCAAAGAAAATTTGGTGACTTAGGTTCACCATAATGTTAATATTAATGTTTAGATTAACCTGTGTTTAGGGTGTAAATATCACAAACATATATTTTTGTTTGATTTATCGCAAATAATGGGTAACGATAAAAAGCTAAGTATTTTTTATCGCTTCTTCCCATGGCAGTGACCTTGAAGGTCAACCTGTGTAGCATGTTTTATTGAGTAAAATAAAAGTAAAATAAGTGTTTCTGTCATACCAGAATAGTTAAGATTTTACAAATGCACATTAATTTTTATATTGTTCAAGCTTCAATTAATATAATTGCAGTTATCGAAACTGGCACCTGTAGCAGAATCTTTCTTCTGTTATACAAGGACGTACATATGTACCATTGAGTTATTAACAGGTTACAATAATCCCCTAAATCAAAAAAGAACTTTTTTCATATGTTTATTTCCAATTTATTTTCTCACCCTTTACATAGATTGTGAAGCAGGGTTTTATGGGCAGACATGTGAATATTCCTGTGGAAACTGTAGAAATGGGACATACTGTAATACGTCCTCCGGAATATGTTCAGATGGTTGTGAGGATCGTTGGGATGGACTAATGTGTAAAGGTAGGGTTTTTTCTCAGCTGTTTTACTAAAATGAATTAAGAGAGGAAATGCATCAATGGATTTTACAAGCTATGCCAGAATCCTGCTTTATCTACCATATTGAATGGCAAAGATGCTACGACATACAAATGCAATTTAAAATTAACTATATCTGTATAGATTTCTGTATAGATTTCTATATTTTCACCGTCTTTGAAACTGTGAACAAGAAATTACTTCTAATGTTAATAGCTCATTTTATATTACCAACAACTTTATTCTAGAGTTTTCTTAATTAATTATTACTCTTTAACGGCGAACTTTTTACCTTCAGAAAACAATTGCAAAGAAAGTATAGTGACTTGGGTTAAGCATAATGTTAACCTGTGTATAAGATCAAAATATCACTAATATATATTTTTATTTGGTTTATTAAAAATAATGGGCAAAGATAACAAGATAAATCTAACAAATAAAGAAGAATATAAGAAATGGCCATATTTGACGAGAAATCAATCTGACTTTATTTTCTTACAAAGAATGCAAAAACGGATATTATGGATTAATATGCGAGGGCATGTGTGGGAACTGTGGAAATGGAACATACTGTAATAAGGAGAACGGAACTTGTCCTGCTGAATGTCAGGTTCACTGGAATGGATCCAAGTGCGACGGTAAAATTAATAGGGTAGCCTTTTGCATAAATAGTTTTCCTATGAGTATTTTTTCTCTCCTTCCCATGTCTATGATCTTGGAGGTTATCCTGGTGAATATTTTTATCCTTAATTGACAAAAGTAAAACACTGCGACAGGAACATAAAGGAAAATAATCTTGATAACATGAATATTTTTATTTGCAAATGACCAGTGTATTAGTTGAAACAGTGATGAATATACTTAAGGGATAAGCAACTCTCGTGATTTACGCATAACTGGATTTCATATATCAAATTTGAGGAGTTTGGATCCTGCTATCAGTCTAAAGAATTTTTGACAAGTATATATTTAGTATCTACACTCATAGTTGAATTGAAAATCAACACAAATATGGAGGTCAATATGCTTGTTTAGGCTCTACGTTCACTTAATATACCCTTTTCTGCATCTATAATATTGTCTTATATTATTCTTTTACATATAAATCACTCAAGACTTCCCTTTTTGTAATGCACTTTAATCATTAGACAAAATACAGTCTTATTCTAGCTTCAATAGACAAATAAGACGTTATGACAAAGAAAAACATCTAATGAGTATCGCATGATTAATTATTAGACCGTTCTGCACTCACAGAATATCATTTTTCCTTGCATTAAAAACTTAGCAAAAAAAAAGTTATTATTCAAAAGTCTTCATATTTTCCTTCATAAAATCATAGTTGTCAGGGTTATCTGTAATATTTTGGTAAGAAAATTAAAAATGAGTGTCTATGATTTAAATACTTAGGTATTACTACAAAGTATTAATTTAAAGCTGTTTTGTAATCTTCACCTTTCATGTATGACTTAGAGATTAACAAACTTATATACTTCCCACCTTTCGGGGGATATATTTGTAATAACTTAAATCTTAGGTTATTTTTCTGGACTTTCATTATATGTTTGCTATATTTGTCACAATAAGATAATATAGATCACATAGGTTAGATCAATGCATGTATATAATTCCAGATTGGCAAATAATATCTCACTGCAAAGAAAAAAAAACTGTGTGAAGCCTGCATGGAAAAAAAGGCATCCAAACTTAACAGCACTGTAAATACTTTACATGAGAAAAAATTGATCATTTTTCTTTCAAAAAGAAAAAAAAAAGAAAGAAAGAAACTTCCGCCACAAAATATAGTCTCTACCTTAATGCTTTTTGTGTGAAAGTTATTCGGGAGTCGATTTAAATTTAGTTTAAGTGGGATTGGAATTCATATTTATTGTAAAAATTAAAATATGATGCAGAATTCTAGAAATGTAGGTTCAGACAAAACTCTGCTTAGAAGCAAAAATCAAACCTCCTTATTTTTTTTCTCTCAGTTTATAAAATATATCAGATCAATTTTTGCTTTTAATTCTCTAAAAAAAAGAATTTTTTTTAATATACTCCCTAACTTAGCAGAACTATGTTTTATTTTGAAAATCAACAAATGCCCCCGGTCGGCCGTACTCCGATATTTCTCGAATTTGGGCAATTATTTGCTTATTTTGAAATTACTTTAACATGCATACATTGATATTTTAAAAGTATTAAAATTCATTTCCATAAACAAGAAGACCTGACTACATTTTTTGGGGAAACTAGATCGTGAACTTGGAATGAACGTAGTTTGAGAAAACTTGTTAGACTGTGTGTGTTATTTTGGGGAATACAACATGGCACTGAAGAAATTGTTATCTCATTACTTTATACGGCTTTGATTTAAAGAGCATTTAAGATTTAAAGGGCTATGAGGATGTTGATCTCAATATGGCAAAAAAGGGTAAATACCTCTCGCTAAAATCATATCTACCAAAATCAATGATTTACTACCACAACATTGTTTGTGGGAGAAATGGGAATTCATTTTGAATTTAAAAAGGCCTTTAAAAATGGGATTTTCTCCACCTCAATTTCCAGGATTGCAAATATAGTTAAAAATGAAAGAATATGAGCATGGTGACTTCCGAATATAGGAACGAACGGGAAATAACTCTTAGTAAAATTAATCTTTTATAAAGTATGTGGGAAAAATAATAATTCAATTGGACATTGCCATAGGTATTTTGGTATTTACTATTTTTAGTGCAGTATTGTCAAAAATAAGTTACCTGCAATAAACATAATTTTTCTTTGCTTATCCTCACTCATGAAAACTTGCTTGAACATTAGCTTATTTTTTCTACGTTTCTGTGTTTAAAAAAATGTTCAGTGTATGCTGTTTTTATTCTAGCATGTGAAGATGGATATTTCGGACTGAACTGTGATCGTGCATGTAGGAATTGTATTGGAAATAATTGTTACCAAGACAATGGAATCTGTTCAAATGGGTGTAAGGAGAGATGGACAGGTGCCAACTGTGATAGTATGTATATTGGCGTTTCATCTTCATGATTTTATTAGTATGGATTTCATGAAGTGAGGTTCCTGGTTTTCTTTTTTTTTTCTTTTTTTTTTTTCTTTTTTTTTTTTTGTAAAATTTATAAAACTATGCATATTAATGTGAATTCCTTTTCAATGCCACGTACCAAGTACTTCACAATAAAAAATCATTTCTAAATTTGTAACCCAAATCTTCTTTAGCAGGTCACCCTTTATAAAATGATAATGTTTCATATAACCCTTATTTCAGGACAAAAAAGTAATGTATGATTTAATAGACTTTACAATTATTAATTTTCTACCATTCAAGCCATTCTTCTATCCACGGAGCCAAATACAGGTGCAATAGTCGGTGGGCTCATGACTGTATTTATCCTCTTAACATTTGCAGTCATCATCGTCATAGCAGTTCTAAGGTATCTTTCAATTATTATGATCATTATTTATTTATCGGAATTGACACATGTAAAACCAAATTAAGGGGAAATGTAACATTCCTCGGTGTGTGTAAATCTTTGTTAGTATGTTAAATTTCACTTTATCACGCCAACATTATAAGCGCACTGTTTTATTCACAATCTTAGAAATAAACGCATAGTTTTGAAGGATATACGGTAAACCTTGTCTAATTGGGACATCACTGGTTTCAAAGAAATTGGCCAGATTAGCAAATATTGTGGATAAGACATTTTAAGACAATTGAAACACCACAAAAGGGACTTAATGTAAACATCGTATTAGGCAAAATTTCGGAATATTCAAAATTCGATATATATATATATATATATATATATATATATATATATATATATATATATATATATATATATATATATATATATATATATATATAGGAACAGCGTGCTAGACCGCTCGGCTATTAAATTAATTTCATTACAACGTGTATTGGTAACGATCCTCTAAAAAACTAATGTCCAAATATCTGTATCTCACTTCCATTCTCAATGACCGTGTACTGTAGGACAGCGCCGCGAGAATTCCATCGGCATCGAAAGCAAGTTTTTTGACTTGCCTACATAGCCGAGCGGTCTAGCACGCTGTTCCTGTACTGCTAGGACACAGATTCCGTAGGTCGAGAGTTCAACCCCAGGCTGGGGCGGAAGTGGGTATCCTTATAAAAGTGAATTTCTTTGTGCTTTCTATATTAATATTTCTTCACTTAGGGCAGTTATTTTAGTTTAAGAGTTGTTGTAAAATGTGCTTTATAAATAAACTTAATTTCTTTACAACGCGTATTGGTAACGATCCTCTGATAAAACTAATGTCCAAATATCTGTATCTCACTTCCATTCTCAATGACCGTGTACTGTAGGACAGCGCCGCGAGAATTCCATCGGCATCGAAAGCAAGTTTTTTGACTTGCCTACATAGCCGAGCGGTCTAGCACGCTGTTCCTGTACTGCTAGGACACAGATTCCGTAGGTCGAGAGTTCATCCCCAGGCTGGGGCGGAAGTGGGTATCCTTTTAAAAGTGAATTTCTCTGTGCTTTATATATATATATATATATATATATATATATATATATATATATATATATATATATATATATATATATATATATATATATATATATATATATATATAATACAGGCTACGCATTTTTTCCATTCACGTTTTTCATCTGATTCCTTAATACTCTGACAAAATCAATAACTTTATCATTATTATTATTATGGTGGTGGTGGTAGTGGTTTGATTGACTGAATGATGTTTTACGTCCCATTTGAGAATTTTTCACTCATATAGAGACGTCACCATATACCGGTGAAGGGCTTCAAATTTTGACCTTTACTCGGCACTCAGGGCCATTGAGCAGTGAGGACCAACGCCTGCCGTGACACGGGGCCTCGGTTTTTAAGGTCTCATCCGAAGGACCCGCAACTTTCACTTCAAAGTGCCGAGCGCATGGCGAAGGAACAGTTGCTACCCATTTTTTATCGACTTAGGTCAGTAGCGGCCGAGATTCGAACTCTCGACCTCCCGATCACGGAGAGAGCACTTTACCGAACTGAGCTACCGTGAACAGTCTGGTGGTAGTGTTGATGAAATAATTACAATATGTGAGAAACTTTTCAGGAGAGCCTTGGATGGGAAACATTCATAAGGGTCCTTAATTTTAATGCTCCCTCCCATTTAAAATTCGGGGACACACAAACAAGTTGATGAAACAAGGGTGTCAACAGTCTCGTTTAAAGTCAATATTTGGCAAGTTCTATGGTCGATACAATGGCCTTATCAGCAAATACAATTTATCATCAAGTAGAATGCTGATTGACGATTTTCATACTAATAGTTTGGCTACTTTTTAATCACTGAGTTGTAAACGGATTTTTTTCTGTTCGCTCCATCATGACTCCGGTCGACAGAGGATACTCACTCCTACATTGTACCTGATCAGGCCCCTGGTGGTTTTTACAGGTCCATGTTTGTTCTGCTTCGGATTTGTATTGTTTCAATCGACTTTTGAGCTTGATGACTGTTCGCTATCTCCATATTTCATTTATGTCTGTCCCTCTATCTGTTTTTCCGCAAAATCATTTTGCTCCAAAATAACTTTTGAACGGTTGTTGTTAGGGATTCATATCTGACATGTATATTTCTTGTAAAAAATACTTTCTTTGGTTACCAAGATTTTGCCCTTATGTACTTGACCTTTGTGTTTGATTTACTAGGGAAATCATTGACCTCGGTCAGAACTTTTGAATAGTTGGAACTAGGGCTTTTATATTCCAAATGTGTATTCCTTGTCACAAAACTTTTCATTTGGTACCGACATTTTTTTGAACCCAACTCCTTGGAGTTTGACTAACTTAAGAAAACTTACTTCGTCATGATGTTGGAATGGTTGGTGCCAGTGCTTGTATATTTAACATGTGTATCCAACTGACAAAACCTTTCCTTTGGCATCAACACATTTTAACCATATGGCCTGGATGTTTGACTCACTGTCGAAGAACTTTAACTTAGTCATGAGCTGTAAGATTGGGACATTGATATTTTTAAACACATCTTGTTCAGGATTATTTTTTTAATCGTATTTTTTTTAATATTATATTTTTACTGCATCTTTTTCAGCATGACGACTACAAAATCTTTCATAACTTTCCATCTAAACGCTTTTAAGTTACTAATTTACTACATGTATCTTTAATTAAAAGTTAATCATGTCAGCCTTAATGCAAATTCAGGAAATACATTTATTATACAGGCGACAGTATGCGGAAAAAGAACGAGAAAACACGGGAAACGTATTCAGGTGTGTTGAGTATGATTCAAAGATCAACCACGGAAGAAAGAAATATGCGAATATCGCTGGTAAGACCTATCTACACACATATGATATTTAAATAAAATGGAACAAACATTATTTTCGATATATTGTACTCTTCATCCGCATTCCAGTTGTTTATATTAATTAAGGTATGTCACTCCTCAGCTTTTATGAAACGTTCAGTCATAACCTCTAATTTCAAAACTATTTATTAAAATTCAATTCTTATAATATCTTAAAATGAACCAATGCAAATGATTCAACAATCAATTAAAAAACTGCTCACAAATTCATAAAGAAGCAGAAGTGACTATTTCTTGTGATGGAAGGGTATTTGGAAGAAAATACTTCAGATCTAAACATTTGTTAAATTTAATATCTTGGGACTTTAGCTCAACATATTTTTACTTTCTGAATATTTTCCCTGATGATATGCTAGGGATGTAAAATATAGGTCTCAATTTATATTTTTAGAACAAATTTTACACATTCAATCAACATACTTCGCCAAGAAATGAAAATATATTAAAGAAATCAAGATGAAATTACACCTTTTTTGCCTAAAAATCGCACATTTTAACCAATATCTCAAAATTTGGATTACTGATCCCAACTTTTTTTCATCCTTTTGATCAACACGATACTTTTAACTGACCAGCACTTCCGTCATAAAAAAAATGATACAAGAAAATATTTAATTGCCTATTTGGATTTTTATAATACCCCAAATATGATACTTTTTAGTGCAGAAATGTCACTCAATAATTTATACACATTAATACGCATGGTTTATTCAATGATAAATATAATTGAAACTATTTTACGTAAAACATGATATTTTTCGCCATAATTACATCTGAAAAAATATGATGAAGATTAAAGTGATTAACCAAAGAGTTACAATTTAAATGCAAAAAGGTCAACTTAATTGTACCATAGCTCAGTAAGATGCACACTGACCCCCCATTGTCTTTGTGAATCGTGCTATATGAATACTTATCTAACATATATATCTAAAATAAATTGATATAAATAATTTCACGAGTGGCATACCTTAAACCTTAAAAAAATTGAATGCCAAAAAAAGGGAAAAAAATAATTTTCATATATATTTGAGTAAATATTTATTATGGAATAAAAACACCACTTATTACAAACATATTTAACGATACATTCAAATATATGTATTTTTTTTTTTACGATCCCTCTCCATGCAGCTCCTGATATAAGTTTGCAGAGTGCCTTTTCCAATGCAGAATACTATAATCTAGGTCATATAAGCACTGTTATACGGACGCAGGATTTGCAAGACATAATTGCTTTTAAAGGTAGCGAAAAGCAACACCCATTTATTATGGAATACAAGGTATTATCAGAGCGGATTAACTGAAAACTTTTTTATAAACATCTCAATATTTCTTTCTAACTTTTGTAAAATTTATCAATCATCCAACTCCAGGTCCGAGAACTAGCTCCTTGAATTTATATTTCTGCATGTCATTGTAATATACCAAAGTATTTATGGTTATTAAAATCTTCAAATTTCCAAACTGTTTTCAAAATAATTAAAAATAACATAAGCCAAAATGTGTGATAGCAACAATTCAAGTGATTTCCAGTAGGCTTATATACACGATAATATCTTTTTACGTTTTGCTCAAGTACCTGGCAATGAACATTAACTTTTAAAGTTGCAATACTTCAATCACAAACTGTTGAGAAAATTTGTGCAATATTGAGGCACGCGCCATCTCATCTTAAGCTAAAGAGCTAAATCCACGAAGGGCCTAAATCGACCTATTTTTTTCAGGAAAATTAAACTGAGAGGAAGAAGAAAATTAACAATAGAAATATTATCCTTGGGTATCAAACCTAAATAGTTTATGCCAACTTTTTTATTTGATGACGTCATATTTGTACAGAAAACGTCTAAACACGTGCACTTTGCTAGTTTTTATCAAAATAAAGAATTTTTTCGTCTTTGGTTCAAATTTTTGCTGTGGCCACACCCTTGGAACAAAATTAAATTTATACCATTGATAAGAGGATTAAAATATGAATAAATAAAGTATATTTTTATTTTGTTCGAGGGGTGAGGTCACATCGAAATTAATACTTTTCGTTCGATTCAAATATCTTAGCACCGACTTACACAGTGAAAATAGCGGGGACTACCCTACATTAATAAAAAAGAAAAATTTCTATATTGTTTTTGTAAATATTGAAAAGTTTCGAAATGCAATTGTTATATTTATTATAAGTTATTTTGTGTTGTGGTGCAAAAAAGTACGAAAAACTCTCTCTAAGCATGACTGCATGTAGATGCAATTTAATGTCGACATTTTGTGTACTACGTGCCTCAGTCCTGACTCAAGACTTTTCCTTCAAGTAGCTGATCTATATTTAACTCGTCTTTATGCTGAAATGTTAAAAAAAATAATGTGTTCTCTTTTCCTCTGACAGCCTATTTATTTATGCTTTGAATTTGTTTTCCAACTCCCGGCTCCTTGTCACCATGTTCACCATCTAATCAAAGGGAGATCACCCGAAAAACATGTAGGCTTCATCTTTATTTTCTCCTGAGTGGCCGTGTCGGAGTAGCCTAGAATATTAAAGAAGTTACATCGGATGCAACTACCAAGACGTATTTATTATGATTGTTTTGCCACCTTACAAAACATAAATGTCGTGAAGTCTGCATCGACAGCATACAAATGGTTAATGTTACGCAAGAGAGTCTATTATAATTACATGTATTATAATTATAACCCATACCCATGATACCCAACATGCGTTTCAGAAATCGCTAGTGCCATTTTAAGACAAAAGATTAATTAATATATATTAGTGAAAACCTTTACTGATCCGAGACCTCTTAACATAAATTATGTTACGAAGTACTGAACCTAGAAAATTCGAGTTGACAAATCAAATAAACAATAGATTGATTTTACAGATCGCGTGTAATTTTTGTGATAGGCCTCTATAAGAAAAATGTAATATATTGTATAAACGAATAACTTACTACCAAGGCGGTGACGACTCTTTAAGGTTTTAAGTAATTTCAGTATCGCATGCATGCTGTGACCTAGCCAATGCATGAAAAAAAAAATTGTCAAAGGGAGGCTACTTGCTATCTCTTTTTATTTTGAGTTACTCCGCTTAAATGTAACAGGCCCAAGGGAGAGAGGGCAACCAAGATTAGCAAGCATGTTTATACATGTAGTAGTGTACACTCAGAAAGGGGGGATTCGAGCATTGATATAAGATAAGAAGCCAAAAAAAAAATATTACATTTACAAAAATAGAAAAAAAGACAGGGGTTATTGGGGGAAGGGGGTTTCGGGATTCCCACCCTCACTCATTAAATACGTGGGAGAGTTCGACCAATTACTTCTGCCATTTAAACAAGAAAGTAGTAAAGTGAATAAATAAGAATGCCAATTATATGAGTTCTTGTATATATAGTATAAAAAATAAATTCAATAGCAGTTTTCATTTTTTTCAATCTCCTTGATAAAAATTTATTTAAAAAACGATTGATTTTTCGTGACTCGGTCATTGCATACATTTATTATAGATCCAAGGCCCGTAGGTAGCAATTTCAGTTGGGGGGAGGGGGAGGCACAGTAATACATTTTCAGTTCGGAACACTATCAACTACCACAATTCCTTGACAAGCAAAAAAAGGGAGGGGGGGCATCAGACGTTTTTATTGACGGGACACAAGCATATAGTAGCTTTGTTTTATATAGTATTCTATATATCAGCAAAATTATTGGGGGGGAGGGGGGGGCGGCATGCCCCCCCCCCCCGGTTCCTACAGCTATGTATCCTGAATGTATTATTAAGGTCTTCCGTCTTCACGGAAGACCTTATAAGTGATTCTACTGTTTCTTCTTCTTATTATTATTATTATTATTTTTCCGCCCATCTAATTTTGATTTCTCAAAGACTACTCTATGAAATTTAATGAAATTTGCAGGAACAATGTGTTTTAATCTGAAGTTATTTTATCCGAGAGATTTTTTGGAAAATCACTTCCGGTGCCAAGTTACCAACCATTTTCTGAATTTTAAAAAGACATTTTGTCCGCAACTAATCTCAAGAACGGTAAAAGATATCAATGTGAAACTTTCAGGGATTATAGATCGTGATAAAACCTAGCCGGGACATGACCTTTCGTTCGTCGTCGGTACTTCCGGTCGTTACCGTATGCGAATTTAAAAAAATTGAATTTTCTAACTTTTTTGTTTTTCAATATTTTTCTTTGATATTAGTAGAGTTAATAGAGGCATTTCCAAAAAGGCTTAATATATAATTTGTTTAAAAATGATAAATCCAAACTCTAGATATTCGCATTTTAAAATTTGAAGCGGGTCCAAAATGGCGGCTGTCTCCGTAAACTCCGACGAGCAGGTCGGTACTCGGAGCTCCTCGGGTGGCTGGTACCTCGCACACTAACCTCAAACGTCAACGGTGTTCTATTATTTCGGGTTTAATCCCGATTATGTTTGAATTTTCTTTCTCATTTTTTACCTTTAATTTACGTTTTCATCTTTATAAATGATTTTTTTTCTGTGTGAATCCTGCGCTATTTGCATTTGTTTTAAATAAATCCTGCAAAATCCTTGCATTTTTGAAGGACTATGTTATATTTTACGGACATTGGCAAGTTAAACAAAAAGCACGTGTATTTCCTTCAACGGGTAGAATCATCTATACAGCAAAAAAGAAAAGTAGTAATGACTTTGTTGTACATTGTATTCAGGAGACAAAGAGCCAACAGGTCGTCATTTACCATAGTTATGCTCAGTATGCTGGGAAGGGCAAAGATTTGACATATGCTGAAAGGTAGACCGACTGAGATCAGTTTCTAGGTTGTATGAAGGAAGCAGCATTTAGTAACTACTAATAAAAATTGAAATAAATCCATGCCAATATTTTTATGACAATGTGTTTCAATCAATTCAGTCAATTACATGATAGAATCAATCAACCAGTCTGACTCTCTTGACCCTCATGGATAATATGTAATTATAGCTGTTAAGGGAAGTAATTCAAAAATAGAAATCGGTGCCGGTATGTCCTTGTCTTGTTTCTATATTTACATTTTTAGCTAAAATATCTAGAAGTCATAGGAAATGAAAATATATAATATATATAAAACAAAAACCATATGAAATAAGTGAGTTTTGGAGAAATATTATGGCGAAAAATTATGTAGGTCCCTTTTATCAACATTTTACATAGGAAATGCATTGAGAATTGCAAAAACACTGATTTGACAAAATCTAAAAAAAAAAAAAAAAAAAAAGAAATAAAAGAAGGTTGGCTTGGTAGGTTAAACAATCCAGAATATACCTGTTTATTACAATTTTAAACTACTCTCAAGAGTTCTTGAAAAATTCTATACGAGAAGTTGTCTAAGCAAGAACTCGAAAACGGTAAGACACCAAACTTATATGAGCAACAGTCCTTAAGATGAAGGCAAAACCATTTGGGTTCAGAGCGTCAGCCGTCACTTCCAGTCGTCACAGGAAGTGATAAAAGAAATAGAAAATTTCAACTTTTCTTTTTTTAATTAAAAATTGCATCACTTTATTGCATCTTTTTCGCAGATTCGAAAGATGTTGGTCCCACCGGAAACAAAATCTACAATTTCCGGTTATATGAGATAAACTAAATAATTTGAGCATTTTACTTTCCCATAAATATTCTTTATAGATAAAGTATTTGAAATGAATTTTAAATATGTTATTCAGAGTGCAAATGTCTAGAGTAACTTTGAAAACGTCAACTTCCGGTTTAAGGAAATAGCACGTTGGATTTTCACGCTGACGACCAGGGTTAAACTTCCAGAGTGTCTGAATTTCTTTTATCACTTTTTCAGCTTGAATTCTCGTTTTTATTTTCAGAATCGGGCGGAAGACCTCTCATTGCTCGCAATGAGTTTCTAGTTATTATTATTATTATTATTAACGGATATAACTGCTACCGGTAATTTTTCCTGTTTATCATATTTGTTTTTTGAAAGGATATCTATATAAAGTATAACTTCATAGATCGGGCATTTGAACATGGTATTTGGGGGGGGGGGGGGGGGGTATGGTAATATGTCGTTCGACATGTGGTCTATAATATTTTATTTTCGACGGTCTGTAATGATAGCCATTTACTACTGCCAGTAGCTGTTTTTCGTATATTTTTGTTTAATTACAAATAGTAACTATCCGATAAAGTTAAAAACCTCATATGCAATATGTATACGATATTATAATTATTTTATCGTCTTCTGTACTCATTATCGCCTATCTATTTGTAGTAGTGTTAGAAATTGCACATGGAGAAACGAACGTTATTTTAAATATATGACAATTATGAGCAAAATGTTAAAACTGGTTTTGAACTATATGAAAGTCCGAGATGTTGTTATGTTTCAATGTAATTTTCACTTCTCACCAGATAATCATTACTTTATGATTTTATTAAAAGGGTTTATTATAGGTACTCCCCAACATGGGAGTGTGTAAGATATGATAATATGATAACAAAACGATTAATTAGCAATAATTCATTCGATCGTTTTTATCATCTGAAATCTCTTTTCATATCTATTGTGGGTATATAAAAAAGTTCCTCTTTGATGATATAACATTTATCATAATTAGTGAACTTTATTTCGATAAAATAATTTACACTGAATAAAGTGGTATATGTGCATTTCCGTTTATCTTGTTGTTTTTTTTAAACTTCAGGTTCCGTTTCGAAATTCAAATACTTTGGGAATCTTGTGTTTTCATTGGAAAATATTTTTTTGCGGCCGATTTGATGCTTTGCATCACTCATGTTTAAAAGTCTGTAGTGGCTTCTTTCCTGACAATTTGTGGTGCGCAGGATTGTCGTCAAACGTCACTATTTTACGTGAATTACATGTATGAACTACAATTTCATTTCAAATGTCCGGGAAATGCCATAAAGAGCTAGGGCCACTTAGGGCCCTTTTTGGCCCTGTAAATTTCTGAAAAATCGAAACTGCTTAGTTTTGGCTGACAATGCAGTATTCATCACTTGGATCCTTGGTGACAATTTTTCTACTGAACATGACGTAATTTTCTCTCTAGTCAATGCATTATGACGTCATGAAATGCGTCATTTTTACCATATCCTGTACATTCCTTTAATGGCCAAAAGTTAAAGTATTTTTTCAATATTTCATATAGAGCACAACCTCTGATCCAAAATATGCAATAACATAATGAAAGATCTGCTTCTGAAGATCATAAAACATGTTTTAATTTTTGGATCGAGAGCTGTGCTCATATTTTAATTCTTTGCTGAAATAAGTCAAATGCGCCATTTTTCGCAATATTCAATAACATTCCATTTTCACTAAGCCTGCTTTCCAATACCTGGATTCTCAAAAAGAAATTTTGTTATAGGAAATGAAAGTACTAAGTCTTTACTTTATTTTGATATATGAAATGGGGCAGAGGGTGAAAGTCAATTAATTGATATAAGGACAGGGCCATTTTATGCATAAAGCGGACCTAGCTCTTTCGGAAGTGCAAAAAAATTCTCAAAATGACAATAAAATATATAGTAACTTCAACCGTATTCATTTTTAATGCAACTTTTCATTTCAATTTTATGTTTTCATTAATAAAGAGTACTGTTGTATTTTCTGGGGGGGGGGGTATTTTTTTGTTTGTACGCCGTATGTCCATACAATAACACATTTATGAATGATAAAATCCTTATCCATGGCTACTATGGTATATATTTTACTACATTAATTCAGTTTTACTCAGATATGATGGATTAACACTTTGTGTTTGTTTTCAGCTTAAAGTGTCTCTTATTATCATTTAAAACGGTTACATGTATCAACCATTATACCAGACAACCGTTGTATATAACAAATATTTGGCATTTCTTCAGAGTACAAATAGCTTTGATTAAAAAAATAAACCAAAAGTTTTCAGAACTTCTTGAAAAATTCATAGTAAAATTTTACAAAATTTTAAAGAAGAGGCTATATTGATTATTTTTATTTCATTAACGTACATATGTAACTGTCTTATACAAAATGTCAACATCACGACGTTAAAGTATGTAACATCAACGTAATGACGTGATAGTATTAATAAGGAAAACATTACCAAATTTAAACGAATGTAAAAATAAAACCAGTAAAGATATTGTAAAAAAAAATAAATTGTTTTACAGCATACAAATCTTAGAGTTCTATGTGAGAAAGTTTCATTTATTTTGATGACTGGGCCGATTTAGCCCCTTCGTGGATTTAGCTCTTTGAAAAAAAAAGTCTTCTTCTTTTGGAACTTTTTTATTTATATTTCTTTTATATTTTGCATTTGTGCGATATGAAAATGTGACTACAAATTAAAAACCAATCACCGCTTTTACAGTGTCAGTCATCAAAAATGTAAAACAGGAAAAAAATGAAAATGAGCATTTTGTTTACTTTATTTGACATACTTGAAAACAAAAAGCAGAAATTTATTTTTACATCTTGTGTCTTTCTAGTACCTAAATGAATACTTGTCCTAATATAACGGTGTCACATTAGTGGATTTTCTAGAGGCTGGTATTCAAGCGAATTTGTAAGAAAAAAATCTAAGATCGACACAATTTTTAAAATTTTGCATTTAAAAAAAAACATATCGCATGGAATTTTCCTTCATGATAAAAAACTGGAAATGATAGCATTGAAATTTAATTTTTAAAAGAATTAGGCAAAAATGTAAACTCTGCAATGAACACAACTGGCACAAGTTATAAGCTCGTACCATGTCTGTATATGTACTCATACATGTATCTCAAAGACATAGTATCTCTCACGGATATGAATAAACATTAGCAAATTCTGAAAACGTTTCTTTCTTGATCCACACTTAGTCTTCCCATGTTCAGTCGTCCATTATAGTTTGCTTAAAGTAAAATACTTTTTATTTAGAGGTTACCTCCCGGAGATGTAAGCAAATGTTCAACGGCTCAGAAGAAAGATAACGTCACCAAGAACAGATTTAAAACAACATTTCCTTGTAAGAATGTTTGTTAGTTTGTCTGTTTAATCCCTTTGCAGAATTTGTTATTCATATTACGATGCCACCACTTGCCGTTGGAGGGCTGCAAATTTAAACCTATACTCAGCACTAAGGGCCTTTGAGCAGTGAGGGATCTTTTCCTGCCAACACTCACTGCTACATGTATAGGGGGCCTCGATTTAACCGTCTCGCCAAAAGGACCTGTCTCCAAGTTCCGCATTGGGATTCGAACCTGCGGATGAGACCGTAAAAAACAAGGCACCGTGTCACGGCAGACGTTGGTTCGATAAAGATCCCTCACTGCTCAATGGCCCTGAGTGCCGAGTAAAGGTCAACATTTGAAGCCCTTCACCTGTGTATGGTTACGTCTCTATATAAGTGAAAAATTCTCGAATGGGACGTAAAACAACATACAATCAGTCAATATAAAACATTGATTGGTTTCCATGTTTTTTAACTCTGAAGCCCTTTCTGCATGTCAGAATGATCAATGAACGACCAGTACGAGATGAATGAATTCTCTCTATAAAGGTTTGAATTGATTCTTGCGTGGAAATTAATCATTTTAAAATTAAATTGCTATACTGTCCTTGTATGTATACATGATAAGCCACATATACTTGAATATACTGAACTTTTAAGTGTCACTAAAAGGATAATTCTTTTTGATGTACTATTATTGTAACCAAAATCTGAGTAAATTCACTAAAAGTAACGTTTTTGTTAGGATCATTCAAATTATGACTTTCTAGGAAAACAATAAGTTACAGTACATTGATTACATACATATTTATTTTAAATATAATTATGACATGCCATCTGCCCGCTTTGCTTGGCATAGATGAATATTCGAGGGTTGTACTTGGAGAGAAATGGGACCTAGATGACAACGATTACATCAACGCAAATTACATTAAGGTATTGTATAAAACCATCGTATTTCTTATGTTTCACTATACTGTTCATTTGAATAATTCAAATTTTTTTTTTTTTCGTTTTACTGACCATTTGATGCGTTTAAAAAATTCTCTGTTAGATGCAGAATCAAAATATTTTTTTGTGATGTATTTTCTGTATGTTTTGATAAAACTCATCCTATTTCGCCAATAAGAACATTTGGTTTAATTGGAAAGTCTGCTCACATTAGGACATGTCTGAAGAGAAGAGAGGGTGGCTTGATTTTGTTATTATGTCTATAAATAGTATATATTTTAAATTTACTTCATCTAATAAACTACATCTCGGTTTCATTGTTTTAGGATTTTAAAGGCGAAAGACGTTACATTGCCGCTCAAGGTACAAAAGAGGCAGAGAAAAAAAAAACTTTCTGTTTTTTCCTCTGGTTACTATGGATTTATGTATATATGTAATATACATTTAAAGCTGATTTATCTAGTTAAATTATATAAGTAATAGTTAATTTCTTTTGTCATAATTAATATAGTTAAAAATAAACTTTAAAATTTAGAATAAAAGTGAAATCTAAATTACCTTTTGTACTTAGGTCCACGGGAGAATACTGTGACAGACTTCTTGAAAATGATATGGCAGGAAAACATACAATGCATTGTTATGTTGACTAATCTGGTTGAAGATGGAAAGGTAAGATAAATCTGTCACCCTTAGAATTGTGCAATTTTTTTCTTTTTGTCTGTTACATGGTAGTTTGCATATATGTTATGGAAGGGCAATGAAATTTGTGTTATTTTTTTCTATTTTCAGAAAAAATGCGCTAAGTACTGGCCGGATATTGATATGTCCAAAAATATTGGACAGTGTACCCTAAGTCTATTAGAAGAAACAGTATATGCTTTCTATACATTTCGAATGTTCTCACTTCAAAGAAGAAACGTAAGCCCTTTTTTCATACGTTTTCCTTAACAATTAAGATTCTGTTGAATGAAGAATATACTAATTTTTTAATCAGCAATTGCATTTGAGAAAGAAACTTTCAATTTTTTTTATGAAAATAAAACTAAAAAAGATACCATAAATAGATAAACAAAATCATTATCTACTGTGAAATCAGTATTTTTTCCGGGGGGGGGGGGGGGGTAATTTTCGTGATATAAAGGAATTCAAGTCCCCAAAGAAATGTAAAACTTTTAAATATCTGATAACATAACAATTATTCAACCACGAAATCAAATCCCCACGAACCAATATTTTTTTTTTCTCTTCTTTTAACCACGAACCAATAATGTTTTTCTTTTAACCCCGCGAAAATATGTTATTTCACAGTATTAATACCTAGGCTATATAAATAAGATAATATTAATATTTTCATTACATTAATCTGCTGTAAGTAATTTCATGTGGTCAGTTTAAATACATCAAGTATATAACAATATCATATTAACAACTCTTTTTGGGCAACAGCTACATGACCTAAGGATTATAACCCATTTCCACTACACGGCTTGGCCAGATCATGATACCCCAGAAGAGATAGCACTTGTTCAGTTTCATAGAGCTGTTACCAAAAAATGGAAGTCTGAATCTCCCTTACTTGTTCACTGCAGGTTTGCCAGCCACACCTGTATTGCTAGAATTCTTTGCAACAAAATAATATTTTTAACAAAAGTTCTAGAAAGTTAAGCAGATTGTAAAGCTTCCTGATGGAAATCCATTTAATTCTTAAGATTTTTAGACATGAAAAGGTATTATTTCTCTACAACATATACTCGCAATGTTTTGTACTCCATAGAGAGAAAAGATAAAAGAAGCAGTGCAGTATTCACAAAATGTTAAATTATAAAAGTCGTTCCCAAATATGATTTATATAAAAACTATTACCCTTCCATTGTAGATACATAACTAGGATAATTAAGATAAGTTATCGTATAATCCTGGTGACCAGGATAATTTATTCAGGTGTTATATGATTTTCGTATAATCAAGACACTTGCGTCTTTTCAAATTTCAGTGCAGGAGTTGGTAGAACGGGTACTTTTATAGGCCTCGATACCTTACTGAAACAAGGAAGGGAAACGGGGCGGATAAACATATTTGAGTTTGTGAAGCAAATGAGAGAGGATCGTATGACTATGGTTCAAACTGTTGTAAGATTACCAATTATTAAGACAATATTCTCGATATTTAACTTATTCATATACCGTTCTTTCCCTACAAGGCTTCTAAGCATCAATCATACTTTCTAAGCGCGTTATCCAAAATCATACATATAAAGATGAAAAGTGTATAAAGATATACAGTTTTATTCATATTTCAGGAACAGTATGTGTTCCTACACAAAGCATTACTCTGTGGATTCCAAGAAAGAGAGACAGTCATATCGGAATTGAATCTTGAATCAAAACTTAATTTACTGCTTAATGACACATCACCATTGAATCAACAACAATTATACAAGGAGTTCAAAGTAACGTATTATAGTATTTGAAATGTTTTATCTATCAGATTAACAATCATAAGTAGCAGTTTAACATTTAGTGTATCCTTTTTTAGCTCACCTGAGCCGAAGGCTCAAGTGAGCTTTTCTGATCACATTTTGTCCGTCGTCCGTCTGTCTGTCTGTCTGTCCGTCTGTCTGTCTGTCTGTCTGTCCGTCCGTCTGTCTGTAAACTTTTCACATTTTCGACTTCTTCTCTAGAACCACTGGGCCAATTTCACCCAAACTTGCCACAAAGCATCCTTGGGTAAAGGGGATTCAAGTATGTTCAAATGAAGGGCCACACCCTCTTTCAAAGGGAGATAATTAAGAATTGGTGAAAATTTGGTGTCATCTTTTAAAAATCTTCTTCTCAAGAACCATCGGGCCAGAAAAGTTGAAAGTTATGTGAGTCCTTCATTACATAGTGTAGATTCAGGTTTGTTCAAATCATGACCCCCAGGGCTAGGGTGGGGCCACAATGGGGAATCAAAGTTTTACATAGGAATATATAGGAAAAATCTTTAAAAATCTTCTTCTCAAGAACAACAAAGCCACAATTAGTCATATTGATATAGAATCATCCTCAGGTAGTGTAGATTTAAGTTTGTTCAAATCATGACCCCCGGGGCTAGGGTGGGGCCACAATGGGGAATCAAAGTTTTTAATACATAGTAATATATAGGAAAAAACTTTTAAAATCTTCTTCTCAAGAACAGCAAAGCCATAATTAGTCATATTGATACGGAATCATCCTCAGGTAGTATAGATTCAAGTTTGTTCAAATCATGACCCCCTTGGGTAGGATGGAGCCACAATGGGTGATCAAAGTTTTACAATGGAATATATAGAAAAAAGTCTTTAAAATCGTTTTCTACAGAACAACTAAGCTACGATTAGTTATATTGAATTTGGAATAATCCTTAGGTAGTGTAGATTCAATTTTTTTTCAAATCATGACCCCTGAGGGTAGGGTGAGGCAACAATGGGGGATCAAAGTTTTACATACTAGGAATATATAGTAAAAATCTTTAAAAATCTTTTCAAGAACAGGAAGCCATGATTAGTCATATTGATATGGAAGCATCCAGGTATTGTAGATTCAAGTTAGTTCAAGGCATCCTCCAGTAGTAGGTTGGGGCCATGATGGGGGATCAAAGTTTTACAAAAGAACATGTATAGGAAATATCTTTAAAAAATTTTCTTCTCAAGAACAACATAGCCATGATGAGTCATATTGATATGGAAGCATCCTCAGGTAGTATAGATTCAAGTTTGGTGACAGGCGATCAAAGCTTTACATATGAATATATAGGAGGAAAATCTGCTGACGAAGAACAACAGGGCCATATTGAGTCAGGTGAGCGTTGTGGCCCATGGGCCTCTTGTTTTCATTTCTATCAGAATTCAAAAAACAATAATAATAATAATACCACTGAAAATTACATTTTTATTATTTACTATTTTACTATTTTAGTTCTTAGAAACCATAATTCCAATTCTCGAGATGGAATGTAAAGAGGACGCTTTGAGCTCAGAGAACAGATCAAAAAATGTTGACATGGGTATATTACCAGGTAAACTATCAACGTTAGAAAATATTGATGTCTTTATTTTAGATTAGAGGACTTTCTTCTAATTAAACGACTTGGTAATCCTTTCAATATTGAAATTGTTCTAATTGTTCTATTTTTTTTAGTGTCAAAATATCGACCATTTCTAGCAGCAAATGCAAAGGGAAGAAATGAGTATATAAATGCAGTGATTGTTCCCGTATGTAAGAGTTATATTATATTCTTGTAAAACTTGTGCCGCATTCCTGTTAATCTTAAGGTAGATTATACCTTCACAACAAAGAAAATTCCCCTCATCAATTAGTATATTACATGAACGTTTTTATTTTAGTCATTTACTCATCCAGCTGGGTTTATTCTAACTCAGAAACCTCTCCCTGATACAGAAATAGATCTCTGGAGATTGTGCATGGACTACCAAGTGGGGGAAATGGTGGTCCTCAATGGCTTTGATGAGGTACAATTAATCAAATTCCTAATAATGGAATTGATCATTAGTTCGTTGGATTTCTTTAATTTGGGGGGGGGGGGGGGTTTTTTTTTTGGTTTTGGTTTTGGTTATTATCTATCTAAATCCAACTAATCATTTTCCTATTTTTTAAAATCTATTTCTAGATTTTTTTTCTTATTAGATTGTGGAAAATAATCACTCATATGTATTATTATTATCTTGATTATTATCACCACGAATTATTTCCTTCATGATTCTGTCTTAATAAGGATAACCAATGGTTACCTGCAAGAGGGGGGAATCGATCTTGTCCACCATATGTGATAACAGCCAGGAGGACGGGGATGAACATTTACGGAGTCGATCAATGCAGCTTACTTGTTTTACGTGATGTTTGTTGATTTACTGACCTATCTGTTAAAAAACACATTTAAGCATTAAATTAATATCTTTCGATTGTTTCTTTATATTGTTTCATAACATGGACAGCTGTGCTGATAAATTGAGAAACGTGCGTTAGCTCGTAATGAAACATTTTTGGCACAGACTTTCGTGTTATGAAACAATGCATGTCAAAAATATTAATTCAGTGCTTATATTTATATTCTCAGGTAACATTTTAATGGTTCAAGTTTATCTTTACTTGTTTTACTTCTTTTAAAATCATATGCAAAATGTGTAGAACAGCCAAGAATAGTGCTAACCTCCTATAGTAATGGATTAATAACGGAATATAACGTCATAGCAGAGCAAATTTGTGCTAGAGCATGAAAATATAGTGCACGTCCCCCCTTTTTTTTAACTAAAAAGTAGAGGAAATGTATATATTGTCATTCTTAATTTTACCCTTATTACAGTTACAAGCAAATAAAAAAAAAAATATGGACGAAAAACGTGAAAACAATAAAAATGACCCATTATCCGTCTTAAATGTCTGATATAATTCCCATCTGTATATTTGAAAATTAAATGCTTAAAGTTTTCAACACAGTTTATATGTTGTTTTAAGAAAAATACATATCAATTGTGAAAATAACATTACAATATGACTTTAAATATAATAATTATGGAAAATAATTCTTGCACTATAAATTAAGTTGTACTTTAGTGTCAATTACATAAAACATATAAATATTGTATCCTCAGGGCAAGACACAAAGCATGGACGTCTTCCAGATATATTCCAAGAATGATGACGAAGTAATAAAGGTGGTTGAAATGTTGCTAGAAAAAGAAAAGGAATCTACTATGACTTCTATTGTTATTAGCAAGTATGTACAATGGTTTTGTATTTATATTTTTGCAAACCGGTCGTTGGATAATTATGCAACGAATTAATAGCGAATGAACAATACTTTAAAATTTCACAAGTAAGGAAGTATTACATAAAAAGCAAAGGGAATTACACTAAAACTTGTTTCCCGTGCATGGCATCGTTTCCATTAGCTCTTGGAGTATGAACAAATGTAGAATTTGACAATAATAATATCCCTGCGAGACAAAAACACTTGCTATATACCCATAAACTGATTGGTTTAGCTCAATAGATGATTTTCTTCTGACATTGGATTCATATTTGCTCTAAAATGAAAAAAATAATATAGATAAACCACCAAATTCGGCGAATTTCTTGAATTAAGGCAGATCAGGGGCATATGTTGATTTTGAAATAAACCGTAATTATACTAAGATAAGGAGTATAAAGAGTTCCCCCATCAAATCTTAAATAATATATTGATGGATAAATTAAGTTTTTGTCCTGAAATATTCCTGAAATATTCGATAGCATTAGAGATATATTTAACTAAAAGTGAATTACGATATTCTGCAACTTATGAGATAAAGCAAGACTTGCGAGAGTTGATCATCCCGTTATCCCGTTAGTATACGTCCCTGGTTCCTCTAATGAGATAATTATTTAATCCACCACTTAAACACAAACAAGAATATATTAGTGAATCGTGTATTCTCAATGTATATCTCTTATATAGAGATGGTGCCGGTGTAACAGGACTGTTCTGTGTTTTACATAATGCTCTACAACAACTTCGTATGGATGGAGAGGTTGATATATTTACTATTGTCCGGCAACTGCAAACTAGAAGACCGGAAGTAATCAACAAGCTGGTGAGTGAGGCGGAAAGAAATATCCTTATACATAACAAGTTTAGATTACGATAGGATAGGCAATTGCTCACCCCTTCTTTAAAAATATCAATAGTATGCGATTGATATGACGTTCTTCGCAATCACCAAATGTGTCTGCGACAGAAGAAAGATTCCTTAAACCTAAAAATGCCTTGTAAATGAAATATATGAAGATAATGAATAGTTTTCAGGCTCAAAAGGCCATCAAACAATACAAAACAGGAGCAGAGCAAACACGGACCTCCAAACATCAGAGGTGGGATCAGGTGCCATGGAGGAGTGAGCATCCCCTGCCAACCGGTCACACACAAATAAAAAAAGTAAAGAATAGATAAAGCAATAATTGATATAGCGAATACGTTAACTAAGCGAAACTATTTCTCGGGGGATGTGGAAAATGTGCTTTGAACGGGAGATCTGTTACTCTACACTACTTAAGGACACCTAAGAAAGAGATGCTGGTGAAATATCTTGCCAAACATTCCATGCACCATTCTATGAACAAAAATTAGAAGGAACTGGTCCTCTTGTGTTACATTTTCAAGCCGACTCGTCTAATTAATTTCAAGCACTTCATTCTGACACCTATTATTTTTGAAAGTCAGTCAACTACTATAAATATTCCAAATTCGAAGACATATAATCTGAAGTACAGTCCTCGCAAATAAGTTGTATTTGTATGGTACTCATTGTTCGAATCTTGCGATTGTCATCCCGATCTCCCTTCTGTCCCGAAAAGAACGACAATAAGGTAGATAACGGCGAGGTAATTGTAATACTAATTATTAGGGATGTCAACGAATATTCGAGTACTCGACTATCGTTCGGTCATACCGACTATCGACTAAAATTTCTTTAGTCGGTTATTCGTTAAAAATGTGTTACCTAATAGTAATTTTAAATTCAAGGAAATAAACTTGGATCCGCTCATTTCATTTATTTACAGATCAATGTTCTCGTAAGTAAAACTCAGGATAAGGTTTAACTGTTCAAAGGAAATTATGTATATGTCGATTTATGTTCGGCAAACACGCCTCCAAAATCTACAGTTTTGGCATACTTTAAAAGATGTCAGGGTGGAAAAACAGTGAAAAGTACGTTATCAAGTTTATGTGAAACTGAACTTGTATTCTGCAGTGGAACATCAAATATTATGTATCTATGCCGAATCCGTCAAACATATAGAGTCTTCAGATAAAACTTTCCTAGTAAGTTCTCCGCAAAAAGGACCAAAAAAAAGAGCCGGAAAGAAAAATGTTGCTAACACAAACATGATTATCAAGGATTGTCTGCAATGTACCTCCTTTTGTTGTAAATGGAGAGGGCGTTCTAGAATTGTTTGGTTTTGATTTAAATTATAGTTTCAACCTGCAATTCCATAAGATTTGACGAAATGCAACTATTCATAAAGAATGATTAAACAGCAGTTACAAAATTGTAAATACATGTAAATTGGGGGACAATTAACGTAATTAAACGGTGTTTCTTTCTGATATTAATATCATACAGTCATTTTAAGATTGTATTGATTGTTTGTACAAAATCTCATAATTAAAATTGATCGTGAGTTCTCTTTGTTTTTATAAGAGGCACGCTTAAATTGTTTACCAGTCATAGGTCTCTGACAAAACACGTACGAATGACTTCAATTAACGGGTACATGTACCAGCCTTATGAAAAGAAAGGACAAATGCCAGTATTTGATATCCTCCGACTATTCGACTAAGCTGTCCGAATAAAATTGACATCCCTACTAATTATTAAGATATTTTTCCCGAACCTCCAAAAACAAATATATACATTTGTGGTATCTCTCTATTATATAAACATACAGAGAGCAAATATCTTCATACCTGTATGAAGTTTTTCGAAGGTCATAGGTCATTACCTGACCTAATCACACAGCGTAGTTATATCTACATAAAAAGAATTACTCTACTTAGCAATATAGCATGTTTTTCATTCATAAAAATGTACAAAAATACGCAAGTAAAATAATAATCATTTTATTTACAATGTAGACGAGTATGTATTCAATACATTTCTTGATCGATTTTACATAGATAATAGAAAACTACGTGTTATAAGTCTCATGTCTGAACTGCATAGTCTCAATGTTTGTACCCTTATTTTTCTTGTAGACCTCTGAATGCTATGAAAAAAATTCATTAAACTTTACTCACAATAAATTTGAAAATCTTATGGAAAATATCAATGTAATGCAATCACGCCACAAACAGCTGACAAACACTGCACTTCGAAAGTTCGGTAGGCACACCTCCATCATCGAGATCGTTGTCTTAGCAATGTAAGTTGTCGCCAGTTCCTCCATGTCAACATCATAATAAATACGCCTTACTGAAATCGTAGATTTTATGTTCTGATCATTTTATACTTGATTTCAAGTTAACTGGTCATGGTCCGGACAAGTGTCTCCATCCATCCCTTTCGGACAGAAATTCCTCCAACTTTTTATTATCAAACATCGGACGTGTTTCTTGTGTTTTTAGCTCACCTGAGCTGAAAGCTCAAGTGAGCTTTTCTGATCACATTTTGTCCGGCGTCCGTCTGTCCGTCTGTCTGTCCGTCTGTCTATCCGTCTGTCTGTCTGTAAACTTTTCACATTTTCGACTTCTTCTCAAGAACCACTGGGCCAATTTCAACCAAACTTGCCACAAAGTATCTTTGGGTAAAGGGGATTCAAGTTTGTTCAAATGAAGGGCCACGCCCTCTTTCAAGGGGAGATAATTAGGAATTACTGCAAAAATAATGGCATCATTTAAAAATCTTCTTCTCAAGAGCCATAGGGCCAGGAAAGATGAAACTCATGTGGAAGCATGCTCAGGTAGTGTAAATTTAAGTTTGTTCAAATCATGACCCCCGGGGGTAGGGCGGGGCCACAATGGAGGATCAAAGTTTTACATAGAAATATATAGGAAAAATCTTTAAAAATCTTCTTCTCAAGAACAGCAAAACCATGATGAGTCATATTTACATGGAAGCATCCTCAGGTAGTGTAGATTCAAGTTTGTTAAAACCATGACCCCCGGGGGTAGGGCGGGGCCACAATGGAGGATCAAAGTTTTACATAGAAATATATAGGAAAAATCTTTAAAAATCTTCTTCTCAAGAACAGCAAAGCCATGATGAGTCATATTTATGTAGAAGCATCCTCAGGTAGTGTAGATTCAAGTTTGTTAAAACCATGACCCCCGGGGGTAGGGCGGGGCCGCAATGGAGGATCAAAGTTTTACATAGAAATATATAGGAAAAATCTTTGAAAATCTTCTTCTCAAGAACAGCAAAGCCATGATGAGTCATATTCATATGGAAGCATCCTCAGGTATTGTAGATTCAAGTTTGTTAAAACCATGACCCCCGGGGGTAGGGCGGGGCCACAATGGAGGATCAAAGTTTTACATAGAAATATATAGGAAAAATCTTTAAAAATTTTCTTCTCAAGAACAGCAAAGCCATGATGAGTCATATTATGGAAGCATCCTCAGGTAGTATAGATTCAAGTTTGTTCAAACCATGACCCCCGGGGGTAGGGCGGGGCCACAATGGAGGATCAAAGTTCTACATAGAAATATAAAGGAAAATATCTTCTTCTGAAGAACTGCAAACCATGATTAGTCATTTTGGTATGGAAGCATCCTCAGGTAGTGTAGATTCAATTTTGTTCAAATAATGACCCCCAGGGGTAGGGTGGGGCCCAATGGGGAATGGAAAGTTTAACATAAGAACATAAAGAAGAAATATTTCTTCTCAAGAACAGAAAAGCTATGTTTAGTCATATTGATATGGAAGCATCCCCAGGTAGTGTAGATTCAAGTTTGTTCAAATGATGACCCCTGGGATAGGGAGGAGCCACAATGGGGGATCAAATTTTTACAAAGGAATATATGGGAATTTTTTTTTAAAATCTTCTCAAGTACAACGAAGCCATTTGTTACATTGACATGGAAGCATCATCAGGTAATTTAAAATTCAAGCCCCCCCCCCCCCCGGTCTTTTCAATACTGAACTGATTTGTGCTTTTGCCTAGCCAATGTGCTCAGGTGAGCGATGTGGCCCATGGGCCTCTTGTTTAAACATCGAATATGGGTTCCCATGAATTCAAAAATTCCAAGACACCAATATACTCACAAAAATTGATCACAAGTAGCCATGCACAAAATATTCCCTTAAAAACAGAATCCTTTGCCAGATGAATTTGAAGCGTAGCCGCTTTTCAAGCCGATTTACACCTTGTTTAATTTGTCAAAATCTACAACGAACAGTTCGTGCAATATTTATATTCGATTGTCCGTCTCAAATGTATATATAAGTAATAAATAACAAGTTTAAAAATTTCACTGGGAAATGAAGTGGGTCGGTACGTGATCAAATCTTCTGAGAAGACCTTCGGCCTTCAAAGGATTTGATCACGTGACCGACCCACTTCATTTATCAGAAAAGTTTTTAAATTTGTTATTTATTTCTTAACAAAATATGTTATTTGTATGACATTCTGTGTATCATTTAAATCATTTTTCTTCTTTATTTCTGGTTTCAGGAAGATTATAGAAAATGCTACCAATTAGTATCCCGATCCGTTTCAACAAGCGGAACATACGCCAATATGTGAAGTGCTCGAAATCGTGTCTGTCATTTTAAAAAATGTTCAGATGTTTGGAACACAGATTACCATTATTAAAAAATTCCATAAACAGTCTTGAACTTTGTAATATTTCAGCTGTCATTGTATAAAAATTTCTTTACAATGAGACTAATAATAATAATATTGGTTATAAATTCTTAACAAAAAGATCTGAATAGTAGATTGTATAACATTTGTTCAAAATGCTTCTTAAGTTCATCACGACCAAATAATGCAATAAACATTTTTTAAATGTCTTCTGGAAATTCTACTGGTATACTTGCTTCAAGATTCTTTGAATATTTTTCGTGTTTTCTTTTTTTTTCTTGTATGAAATATGTTTCATATATATGCATAACATAGTTTTGAAAATTTATTCACAGCTTATCAGTTAACTCATTTTACATCATTTTTATTCGGTCACATTCAGAATACATAATATTTATATATGTAGAGGCCATTTATAATATATTAATGCCAGAAATATAAATATAATTTTGTTAGAATTGAAATCCTTTGGTAAGCATTTCTACTGTTATCGAACAAGCATTACTATATGCACTGTAGAACTCGTACATATGTAGAACGTGACAATATTTTTAAGAGACTATCAATCCTATAATTGTGTTTCTATCAAATGCACGGATCAATTACTGTATTTCCTTTTTATGTCACACATTATATCAAATGATATATAAAATCTGATCCCCTACTACAGTAGAAGTAAATATTTCCTATTACAGTTTCGTTTTTAATATGTTTCGGTTTCCGAAGTCCTGTCTTTCAGATTCATTTGCATGTGTCCTTTTCAAATAATGAAACTCGAGAGATCAGGCTGAGCAAAATATACAAATGCATGTGTAGTTTGAGGAAGAAATTACTTGACCTCAGGTAAATGTTTATATTTTCTATTGTTACATGTAATTAATTAATCGAATTTACATGCCTAGTGTCAATATACAATTAAAAAAATATACTTCCTCATTTTTCGTTAGTCATTTCACAGTGGAACGTTTCTGTGGATTAAAAGAGCCGCAAAATGGAGAAATCCATTACGTCATTTTATCTTGCATTTCTTTTTCTTGGCGGAGCAAAATGTCTGGGTAATGTATTTTGTTGCAAGGCATTGAAAAAAAATATGTATTTATTCTGGTTAAAGACATTCACTTCTGTATCACACGCGCTTTAACATTTCAAGCAAAAGTGCGTTTTTGTAGATTAATGTAATTATAACCAGGTAGATTTTGTTTATAAAGTTATAAAAGCAATTCGTGGACTATATTCGCATTTTAAGCACAAACTGGGAAAAGGGAATGTTGGCGGGTAATATGTAGCAGCGCTGTGGGTCATACTATAATGGAAATAAGAAAGGTGCCGTATTCCTTTTGGTCTTCCAATATAAAGTCCAAGAACTGGTAAAATCAGATTTCCGAATTTACTATAGAAGATGGTAAATAACAATCAACATGAATTTCAACAATAGTTTACAAGTTTTATCCCATCAAGTAGGATGTGGCCGTTCGAGCATCGGGCCTCCAAACTGAAGAAGGTATAATGGAAATAGATTTTTGCTAGATAGAGAGTAAACAGTAACTGAATTATGACACTGGCTGAATTAATTGATGGACAGGTGTGTTTCTTTGATAGAATGGACATAAAAAAATGCTAATTAATTATATAAACAAAGTTTTTGATATAAGATTAACAGGTCCTGAGGCATTTACACCTAACGAGTATCAATTCTTTTGACAGTCACTCAAAGTCAACTGGAATGTCTTAATCCTGCTTCAAAGAGAATGAGACACAATCAATTAAACAGTGGACACACAATAATAATAGATAGAGAATTTAACAGATAAACGCCCAAATTTAGTATAATATAATAAGAAGTTTGAAGTTATTTATTTCAAAAATGTTAATTTTGCTCGGTGATATAATCATGAAATTCAAAGAATAGTCCAAAGCAAACATAAAGAACAAAGTACGTTATTCTCTGCTATAAACGACCGAGAAATTTTACGATTTTTGAACAATGTTTTTTTGGAAGTCCTTTATGTTTTGTTTACAATGAGATCAAAGCTACTTATAATTATGCAAAAATGAAGTAATATGCAATGGTGACGTCACACAACTACGCTAAACACCAGCTGCTCAGCGAAATCTTTTTCATTGTTTTGTTTGTTTGATTGTTTGTTTGTTTATTATCGTCCCTTTCGAGAATTTTTTACTCTTATGGAGACGCCACCACTTGCCGGTGGAGGGCTGCAAATTGGCACTCAGGGCCATTGAGCAGAGATCTTTTTCGTGCCAGCACCTATTGCGACACGGAACATCCGTTTATACTATCTCGTCCGAAAGATCATCTTACACCGCGACACTAGAGCAAACGCCCTAACCACTGCCCCACGCGGGCGACTATTTTTTATTGAAAATCAGTAAACTTTGATCAAATTAAATATTTTCCCATGCATAATCACTTTAATATTTTGTGTATAAAATTATTGGCTTAACGGTTATTGAGTGGGAACAGTATTAATTTTTTTTTTTTATAAATAATAAGTCCGGAAATAAAAATACGTTAGCGTACATGATTATACACAGCATTTTCGTAGGAAAAGTATATATCACCTTTTATTTTTCAAATGCGAACACAAACAAATTCGTACGGGATACAATCTGTTCATAAGTTAAAAATATAAAGATTGCATTTGTAGCACATTTTGTAATCATTTGTCTATAGTTTATAATTAAGAATGAACCATTACCTTGTCGGGAATTTCAATGGTTGCATGGTTCAGAATGCACTACGTACAAGTTTATCATTCCTCAATATATCTTGTCCTGATACATGTAAGTGATAAATAAATCTTTCAAATATCTTTTTTATGTTATCATGCATTCAAAAGTACAAAAACGTTTATATTTCAAGTAGCCACATGTATATATCACCATTTACTTTGTGACAGTAGTCCAAGTGGTTGTTGGAAAAATACCATTTACACTGTGTCGAATCACCCCGCGTTTCCTTAATTTACCTTACCGCTGTACTTTGCACAACTCTGCACTGGAGATGACTCAATTAGCAACTATTACAAACAAAAATAAAAAGATAGCTTGAACAAAGCTCGTTGCAAAGCAACGAGTCTTCCGTCCTGTTTTGACTGGAAGGGACGTCAACAAAAGAAAGGAATGAGTTAAGACGTCTCCAGTGACTTTAAAATTTCAGTTTTGCATCAAAACCTGCAAAATAAGCTATTTCTGGCTACTCCCGGTTTGACCGGAAGTGATGTCGAGGGATGAAAAATTTGGTTGGACGCTTCTGCTTACATAAATTAACCAATAATATGTCGAATACAGTAAAAATATTCATTTTCTAACTACTTCCGTTTTGGCCGGAAGTGACGTCATTTGACGACTTTCGACAATCTTATTCGCTTCTACTTGTCATTTTGAACAATTTTGCTTCTTTGATGTATCACAAATTCTCAATAGTTTTTGAGATATTAAGAAAAATATTTTAGCCCTTGTAGATCCCTTATTTTAGGGGCCAGCCCCTATTTGTTGATATCAAATGAAAGAGCTTCTCATTCTGCACAACTTTTGTTCAATAGGTTTTAACAAAATATTTACAAGTAAAGAGATATTCTTGAAAAAATGCTAAAAAATTTGATAATCTCAATATGACTATTTTCAGAGCATACCGAGCGCCAACGTGCGGCACTTCCGGGAAGATGAACTACTAAGTACACATTTATAAACATTGCTCTATCATCACTGAAAATATCAAGTTCCTATTATAAGTGTTTCTTTAGAAAACGAGCGGACAAAGTGACCCTCTAAATATCACTGAATCGCAGAAATCTCCGGACAAGAAGTGACGTCATCAAAATGAAAAAATATATATATCTAGATTTTTTGATGTTCTACCAGACCTGAAAGTTTCATGAAAATCAAATGAGCCGTTTCCGAGAGCTCGCGTGCACAAAATTGGTAGGAAAAAAACAATAATAAAAATAGTGGAAAAGAAACCTAAGAATAACAGTAAGGTCTTCAAGCAAACATGTCAAGTTTCTTGTTTACATTTACATTTGTGATGGAATCGGAGTTATCATAAGCATAAACAGTGTTAATTTTGCATTTGAAATCTAGTTTTTGTGCAATGTAGAAAATAAAAATGTCAGGCGTAGCAATATGTTTATTACTGGGATTCTTCTTTATTATTCCTATAGTATTTGAAAAGAAATTACCACAGACCACTGTTTATAAATAAAATTGAATGCATATTATACGGTTGTATATATTTCAGACATGCAGAAATTTCATGTCCTTTTTATGTCTGCAACGTCTGCTTAATATTTGGACGTCCTACTGACTATAGACGAAAAGACCAAATAACAACTAAATTGTCTGACAAGCGGGATGACTTCAGGTTTTTCCATCCTCAGCTTTCCTTCTTTATGTAGTAATATTCCGCAATCATTTGCATATGATGTTAACGTCTACCAAATTATTCGATACCCAAGAACACGGTTAATTTTAAATCGAGGCAGGCTACTGACAGATACATGTAACGTGATGTTACAGGTGTTTAAACAACCTCGTTTTAAGTCAGCATTTCCTAAATTCAATCGTCGTATCAATGACCCTGTTAACAAATATAACTTATAAGTGGGTCACCTGCTTGGCTTTTTTTTTTTCTATACTAAATTCGACAACGGAATGTCCCCTGATTTATTCATAGGGCTAACGGCGGGTGTGACGGGTCAACAGGGGATGTTTACTCTTTCTAGGCACCTGTTCCTACATGTACCTCTGAAATTTTCAGGGGTCCTTTTTTATGCCCTATAAACAGAATTGTATAGTTTATGGATATTTTAAAATCATCCTTGTTCGTTATCTTCACCTTTTTTTTATCGTTAGGAAATATATCCACAGTATGTCGTTCGCACGTGATATTATGTCATTTGCGATGTTCTACCTCATTTGCA